CTTTGAGTCTGTTAATCCGAGATTATCAAATGCAAAATATGCCCCAGCCAGAAGCGCCGTGCTCCTGCAGGCCAAGGTGGGAGCCAGGACGGGTTATCCGTGCCCGGTTCTCCCGGCTGCCTGTGGTCCCCAGTGCTCCTGCTCAGGGATTCAGCCTTCCTTCTCTCAGTTTGCAAAAGGTTTAAGGAAGCAGTTTTCCTTGGCCTTGGCACGGAGCAGGTTCAGTGGCATAAAACCGGGGAGGCTCAGGCTCCTCTGTTTCAGAAGCAAACCGGGGTCTCTCCAGGGCAGTTCCCGCCGGGACGTGGGGAGCACCTTGGCTGGGTCGCTCCAACGCCCGCGGAGGACAGGAGACAGGCCTGAGCCTGTGCCTGGGGGTCTGTCCCGCGGGAGCCCTGGGAAGGAAGGAGCCGGAACAAGGGGAGAGGGAGGTTATTCCCGGGAGACGCTGCCGCCTTCCTAGCCTGAAAATCCACTAACGCTTCTATTTGCTGTCACCATTATCGGCCTAATAATATTCCCCCCTAATGTTCACAGGGGATAAACTATGCGGCAAGATTAGAGAGTTTCCTCAAATCACTCCCTGATTTTCTAAATAGAAAAGCAGCTATTCTGGGGGCAGAGTTCAGCTGAGATTCTTAGGGAAAAAAAGCATCGGAGAATTCTATTTTCCACGTCCTTAAACACCAAACTTATTTTCTTCTGTCCTATGAGATGTTAATTCTTATAATAACTGGGACCATATGTTTGCTAACTGTTATAAAAAGCAGCTGCTATTACAGACAGAGCCCTCTCCGCCCGCATGGCTGCCGGAGACAGAACAGGACCGTCCCCGCGGGGGACAGCCAGCGACACCCAGGGCGGTGGGTCCGGGTGGGTCTGACGGCGCCTGGAGCACTCCCAGGGAGGAGGGCGGCCGGGCTACGTCCTGCCAGATCCGTGGGCGCGCTCCACCCCCCAGACCCTGCCCGGAGCCCACCTCCCGGCCCCCACCGCCCGGGGGGCCTTCCGGGGCGTCTGTGGGGCCCCCAGCCCTGGTTTCCCTGTGCCGTTAGCAGTCAGTGTTGCGGCAGTGGCTCGTGCAGCAGGTGGCAGAGGACACCACGCAGCCCGTGGGTGGAGACGGCGTGGCCCGCCCGCGTCTACAGAGCCCCCGTCTGGGTCAAAGCCAGACGTTCGCTCTCTCGGGGTGTGACACATCGGTGTGACCCCACTTTGACTGACTTTTGTCTCTCCAGCCACCCTCTGGGATTTTCAGAACTGTGGACGCCTCTGTGCCCCGCGTCCTAGTCCCGGGACAGCCCCAGGGAGAACCTGCGACTGAGGGGGCTTCTCTGCGCCCCTGGAAGCTGGTGGTCCCCCGAGGCAGTGGGGCAGGGCCAGCAGGACCAGAGTTGTTAGGAAGGAAAGAGCTTCGTGTTGGGATCAAGCAGGGCAGGCTTCCCGGAGGAGGAGGGCTTTGGAGTCGGGCTCAAGCTTGCAGGGAGAAGGAGACAAAACCGCACGTGCAAACTAGGAGCCGCAGCAGGAGTGGCTAGTCACCGCTCTCGCGCCACGGGCCGGACACCGTGCCGAGCGCGCTTCACAAATCACGCCCCTGACCCGCGCGACGACCCCCACGGCTAGGGCTCTCGCCCTCCAGATGTTAGCGGGAGGCTGTCGGCCCAGAGAGGCGAAGCGTCCTGCCCAAGCCACACAGCACCGTTGTTGGTTGGTTGAGAGAGGATTGAGGTTATTCCCGGGAGACGCTGCCGGCCATTCCATGCCTGAAAACTTGCCACTAACGCTTCTATTTTGCCTGTCAGCACATTATCGGCCTAATAATATTCCCCCCTTAATGCTTCCCACAGGGATTAAAACTATTGGTTGGCGAAGATTAGAGAGGTTTCCTCAAAATCACTCCCTGATTTTCTAAATAGAAAGCAGCCTAGTTCTGGGGGCGAGAGTTCAGCTGAGAATTTTTAGGGGAAAAAAAGCGACCGGAGATTGCTAATTTTCCACGTCCTTAAACACCAAACTTATTTTCGTATTCTGTCCTTATGAGATTGTTCTAATTGCTTATAGATAACTGCGGGACCATATGGTTCGCTAACTTGTTATAAAATAAGCAGGCTATTTACAAGACAGAGCCCTCTCCGCCGCATGGACTGCTGGAGACAGAAACAGGACCGTCCCGCGGGTCGGACAGCGGCGACACCAGGCGGGTGGCTCCCGGTGGGTCATGACGGCGGCCTGGAGCACTCCCAGGGAGGAGGGTGGCCGGGTCTAGCATCGCCTGCCAGAATCCGGGGGCACGCCTCCGCCCCCCAGACCCTGCCCGGCGCACCACACTCCCGGCCCCACCGGCGCGGGGGGGGGCCTTCCGGGGGTCTGTGGCCCCCAGCCCTGGGGTTCCCTGTGCCGTAGCAGTCAGGTGTTGCAGTCAGGTGGCTCGCTGCAGCGGGGCAGAGGGACACCACCGCAACCGTGTGGTGGAATGACGCGTGGGCCCCGCCCCGCGGTGTCTACAGAGCCTCCCCGTCTGGGTCTAAAGCCAGACGGTTCGCTCTCTGCGGGGTGTGACACATCGGTGTGACCCACCTGCTTGGACTGGACTTTTGGTCTCTCCAGCCACCCTCTGGGATTTTCAGAACTGTGGACGCCTCTGTGCCCCGCGTCCTAGTCCCGGGACAGCCCCAGGGAGAACCTGCGACCGAGGGGGCTTCTCTGCGCCCCTGGAAGTTGGTGGTCCCCCGAGGCAGTGGGGCAGGGCCGGCAGGACCAGAGTTGTTAGGAAGGAAAGAGCTTCGTGTTGGGATCAAGCAGGGCGGGCTTCCCGGAGGAGGAGGGCTTTGGAGTCAGGCTCAAGCTTGCAGGGAGAAGGAGACAAAACCGCACGTGCAAACCAGGAGCCGCAGCAGGAGTGGCTAGTCACCACTCTCGCGCCACGGGCCGAACACCGTGCCGAGCGCGCTTCACAAATCACGCCCCTGACCCGCACGACGACCCCCACGGCTAGGGCTCTCGCCCTCCAGATGTTACCGGGAGGCCGTCGGCCCAGAGAGGCGAAGCGTCCTGCCCAAGCCACACAGCACGTGGGGGGGGGACCTTCCGAGAGACGGACGGAGGCGGAGGGAGCCGGCGCGTGTCCGAGCCCACACCGGCCACGCCACTCTCACACGCGTGGGCGGCATCGCGCAGTCTCCGGAGGGTTCCGGGTGCGCCTGTATCCCGAGGCGCCCGGCTCTGAATTATCGCGGCCCCCAAACGCGTCATGAGGACGATCACGCGTGTGCACAGAGGCGGCCGGGCCGGAGCCCACGCGCTCCCCACCCCCACCGCGCCGTGTGCCGTGACGCAGAGCTTGTGTGCACCGGCCGAGGGGCAGCGTCGCCCCTGACACCCGTGGGGGCTCTCTCCTTCTGCTGCCGAGCGGGGTGAGTCACGGGGAGGCTCGAGCCCCGGCCAGGCTGGGACGGCGCGCGACGCCGAGTGACGCCGAGTAATCACAGACCCTCTTCCCCGCCCTGGGCCGCGAGGAGGAAAGCCGTGCTTAAAGGGGCTATTTAGCTGTGCTGATGAAATGCATATTCATCGGGGCGTTCGCTGCTGTTGTTCAGCCGGGCCGCGCCGTGGGGGCCGGGCTGCGCCGTGGGGGCCGGGCCGTGGGGGCCAGGCCACGGCGCCGTGGGGGCCGGGCCGCTGGGGGACGCAGGAGGGGCCGCCAATCTGACTCGGTGACCTTGAGCTGCGCGCGCACCTGCCCTCGGCGGGCCCCAGACCCTCGCAGTCAGTCGGGGTCTCCTTCCCCCGCAGACCCGCCGCTTCTCTCGGGCACACGCCGCACCCCTTCCTCCCCCCGCCCCTCTGCTGCCCCGAGTTTCAGACCTGGGGGTCTCGCCTCCCCCACACACACCCTGTCCTCTCCAGCCCCCAGACCTGCCTTGCCGGGTCCCTGAGGCCGCCCCGCCACCCTCCGCAGCGATGGCCTCCTGCTCCATGCTCGGCAGCGCCTGCACGTGCCACGCCAGCACCGCGGTGTCCCCGGGGCCAGGCCAGCGGCAGGAAGGAGGGTGGTGTCGGCTGCCCCGCACGGTGGGCGTGGGTCCTCGAGGCCGTCACACCCCGATTCAAAGCACCTGTGCTGCTCCAACGCAGCTCGCCGGCCTCCAGCAGCCGTTTGCCGGGCACTGCGCACGCGCCGGCTCTCTCCTCCCCGCAGCAGCCCCGCGGGGACGCCCCGATGGCGCCCGCCCAGCAGGCGTGAGCTGAAGGACAGCCACGGCCCGGGGTGGCCGCGTTACAGCCACGCAGCCTCTCCTGCGACCCAGCTCCCCCACGCCTCTGGCCCGGCTGCATCCCCCACAGTCAGCGCCAACGCACACGCCTCCAATGCACTCGCCACCAATGCACACGCCGCCAGCACACGCCTCCAACGCACACGCCTCCAACGCATACACCACCAACACACACGCCGCCAGCACACGCCACCAACGCACACGCCGCCAATGCACACGCCACCAACGCACATGCCACCAACACACACGCCGCCAGCACACGCCACCAACGCACACACCGCCAATGCACACGCCACCAACGCACACACCTCCAACGCATACACCACCAACACACACGCCGCCAGCACACGCCACCAACGCACACGCCGCCAATGCACACGCCGCCAGCACAGCTCTCCCCGCCTGGGGTCCCACCCCCCACACCTGCGGCAGCAATCGAGTCCAAGTCCACCTCTGGGCTGACGGCCGGCCGGGACAGGGAGGCCTCGCCCCACACCCAGGAGCCCTCCGTGGCGGCCGCACTCTGTGTTGCTCCTTGAAAACCACCTCTCTGTCCTGGGCCCGGGGCTCAGCGCTGCCCCTGAGCACGCCCTGCCTAGGGTCTCCAGGGCAGCAGCTGCTGTGGAGGAGACGGGAAGGAAGGCGGGGTGCAGGCTCCCCAGATTCCCCTCGCCCCTCCCCCAGCCCCCCACGTTCTATGCGTGGACCTGAGAGCCCGGTCTACGGTGACCTCAACTCGCTGTCCTTATTGCATGTTATGGGAAGGTAGGAGATAATTAACGCCGGCTCTGTTCTGTCAGCTCCATGAAGCCATCCAGGACTCAAATCCTTCATCTCCCTACTCCACCACCTATAGTCTCTGGTGTCATCTTCATGGCTGCAAAAGAGCTGCCAATGCACCTGCCACCTAGTCCACTTCAAGGAGTGACGGTAGTAACGATCTCCTTGTGCTTGCTGTCGGGAAAGCAAAAACATCTCCCATCCCCCCACCCCCAGACCTTGCTTACGCCTCACCGTTCAGAGATCGGTCACAGACACCCAAGCTGCAAGGGAGGCTGTGACAGGCAGGGGTGGCCGCAAGTCCGGCCACTGTGAGGGGAGGCGAGGAAGGAGAAGGGAGCTCGGGCTGGACGTGGGGTTGGCCCGCACGTGCCCAAGCAAGGCAGGAGCCACAGTGTCCTGGTGCCAAGGTGTGGTCGGGATTCCCAGCCTGCGCGGTCACGAGAACGACCACCGGGCAAGTGACGGCTTTGCGGACTATTTTGGGCTCTGATAGTTACTAGAAACTTGTTTCCCCTTCTTTGGAAGGAAGGTGGGGCATTGCACTTTTATTTTTAGACATCGCCTCATTAATAATTTACTTGCTCGCGGCACCGGAGCCTCCAGGCCCGGAGGTCTGTGCTCTGACGTGCCGGTGACTTACGTGCCCGTTGCTCTGTGCAGCGCAAACTCCATCGTGACGCCCAGAAAAACTGCTCACGTAATAAAAGCCTTTGTCATTTTTTCGCTTTAACACGGTAGCCGTCTCGTCTCATATTGCGAGTGCTGTGACGATGACAGCAATAACATAGGACACGGCCGCCTGTACGGAGCAAAGTTATCGCCGTGTTTAGATTATCGGTGCTTATTGCGGTGCTAAGACGAGAACGGAGACAGGGGAGAGAGGAGCTGGCGCACCTGTGGTTCCCGGGTCTCCCAGGCGGAGTCCTGCAGCCAAGAGCGATTCAGCAGTCGGTCGCCGAAGTATTCAGTGGCGCCCCTTCTGTGCACAGTGCCCCGTGGGGACGGAGGGCCGGGGTGCCAGGCACGCACACAGGGGCTGCACCTGAGGGAAGAGCAGCCGGTGCAGACACCCTTGGGGAGAAGTAGAGGGCGTGTCCCCAAACCCCACCTCCCCAGGAGGGTCCACGGAAGTGTTAATACTTCCGGGCTTCACTGAGTTTGCGGCAGGAAAAGTCCAGCTTTCGTCAGCGTGACCGACCAGAGGCCACCGGGTCTGTGGAAATGTCCCGCCGCCTCGCACCACCCTGCTCCCCACCCAGCGAGGCTGCCTGGCCCGGGGTGCCGTCCCCCCATCTCAGAAGCAAAACGCCAGCACAGCAGGGTGAGCATCACACGTGACCTGCCTGGCGGTGCTCAGCCCGTCCGCCCAGAGCAGCGTCAGCCGGGGGTCTCCCGAGAAACGGAGCCGGTGGCATGTGTGCACACGGATAGACTCGCCCACGGAGCCGGCAGGTCCCGAGACGTGCAGTTGTCGGCCCGGAGACCCCGGAGAGCCGGCCCGCGGTTCCAGTCTAGGGCCGCCTGCCAGAAAGTTCCCTCCTGCGAGGGGAACGCTGGCCTCGTTCTGCCCAGGCCATCGGCCGACTGGACGAAGCCCATCGCATTGTGGGGGGCAGTCTGCTGTACCCCAAGTTCCCCGACTTAAATATGAATCTCATCCGAAAACGGCCTCATGGAAATACCCGGAAAAATGTTTGACCAAACGTCCGGGCACCCCATGGCCTAGGCAAGCTGACTCGTAAAATTTGCCGTCAAAGGGGGGATCAGAGTCCCAGCCCCCGAAACCTGCTGCGGGGGCCTCCCCGGCCCCTCACTCCCGCCTCGTTCTGGAAGGTGGCCTCACCCTGCCTGTGCCTCACCAGTCCGTCCGGCAGCACCTGGCGTCCACACACAAACACACACGCACACACGCATGCACACATGCACACACATCTATTGACCTGAGCTCACGTGGTGTGGGGAAACTCGCATCATGGCGGCTAAATACAACGATATGGACGTCCAGAATGACAGGGGTTGAAAGTCCCTCTGTGTGGGCTGCAGCCCCGACTGCATAATCTGCTCCATTCTGCATAAGTGAGACAAGTCCCGGTGAGCTGAGGGCGTCTGGAAGGGGTTGGACCGGAGGGCGAGGGACAAGCACTAAAGGGGCTCTGGAGATCAGAGGAGACCCGGTGGCCACTGGGCACCGCGCAATGTTGACACGACCGTCAGGAGGGAGGCGAGCAGAGGAGGTGGAGCTTGAGGCCGCTCGTCTGCGGCTGAGTGGCCTGCGCGCGCGCGGACTTGCCGGCATGTGCACGCCCGGGAGGAGGTCAGCGCCAAGGGTGCCGGCTCGCGCCGCCGTGTTCTCACTGAGCAGGATACTTCCAGCTCTGGCCAGGCATCGGCTCTGTCAGAGGGCTGGGACCCCGACGACGACAGCCCCGCACACGGATTTCTCCACGAGACCATGACTTCGCGCGCGCCCGGACACTGACGCCGCGACTGGCCCACAGTGGTGCCGGCGAGAGACTTGCAAGGGGCCGCGGCGCGCGGCGGCACGGTGCCGGCAGCCGACGTCTCAACCTGAAGACCATCCTCCTCCCTGAGACACTCTCACTGGACCTCCTCCTGGAGCCCCCTCTCCTGGGAGCCTCCTCCTGGGAGACTCCTCCTCTGGGAGACTCTCCTCTGGGAGCCTCGTTCCTGGGAGACTCTCCTCCTGGGAGACCTCCTCGCTCCTGGGGACCACATCCTCCTGGGAGACTCCTCCTCCTGGGGAGACCCTCCTCCTGGGAGACGTCTCCTCTGGGAGACTCCTCCTCCTGGGAGACACTCTCCGGGAGCCACTCTCTGGGAGACTCCTCCTCCTGGGGAGACCCTCCTCCTGGAGCCTCTCCTCCTGGGAGACATCTCCTCTGGAGACCACTCCTCCTTGGAACCTCCTCCTCTGGAGACGACTCCTCCCTGGAGACACCTCCTCGCTGGGAGACCCCCCAAGACATCCTCCTGGGAGACTCTCTCCTCCTGGGAGAACCTCTCCTCGAAGACTCCTCTCCCTGGGAGACCCTCCTCCTGGGAGACCACCTCCTCCTGGGAGACCTCCTCCTCCTGGGAGACCTCCTCCTCCTGGGAGACCACCTCCTCCTGGGCGACCACTCCTCCTGGGAGACCTCCTCCTCCTGGGAGACCTCCTCCTCCTGGGAGACCTCCTCCTCCTGGGAGACCACCTCCCTCTGGGAAGACCCTCCTCCCTCCTGGGAGATCCACCTCTCGCATGGAATAACCGCCATCCTCCGGGAGGACACCTTCCTGGGAGACTCTCGCTCTGGGAGACACTTCCTCCTGGAAGCTCCTCCTCCTGGGAGACCACCTCCTCCTGGGAGACGCTCCCTCCTGGAGAACTCCTCTCCTGGGAGACCCACCTCCTCCTGGGAGACGACCTCCTCGCCTGGGAACCTACTCTCCTGGAGAAACCTCTCCTCCTGGAGCTCCTCCTCCTGGGAGACCCTCCTCCCTGGAGCCTCTCCTTCTGGGAGACCACCCTCCTCCTGGAGCAGACTTCCCTCCTCCTGAGAGACACAGATCTCAGAACTAGGATACCAGCATCTCTGGAATACCGTCTCCTCCTTGAAGACCGCCTCCCTCACAGGAGCAGCCACCGGCAGGGCTGGACACTGGCCCGAGAGCCAGGCCCGGCCGGGCGTGAGACCACAGGTCAGGGAGGACTAGGGGAGCGGGGAGCACCTGCTGCCGTCCAGGGCGGCGGTCTTGGCTCCCGCCCCCTGCGCGGGTCCGGCGTGGCCAGATGTCCCCCTTTCACAAGGGGCTGGACATGGCAATCCTCACAAGGAACATCCTGACCCTTGAATGCCAGCTGGACCCAGAGCAGCCCTGACGAGTGCGAGGGGCAGGGAAGCGTGGCTGGGCCGCCGTTCACCGGCCGCCGCTCTCCCCTCTGCAGCCGAGCCGAGCCCTGCGCTCCGTGTGGGGCCACCAGCCGGGGTGATCGCCTCTCGGCCAGCCCCTGAGGCCAAGGCTCGCGTCCCTGCCCGGGCGTCGCGCCCGTCTCTGGGTGGGCGGCCGTCCCCAAGGCGCCCAGAATGGCTGCGCTGGGCCGAGGGGCCAGGCCGAGATCCCAGACAGACCACCAGGCCTCCCACGTCCCGGGGTCTGCTGGCATGTCACAGCCCTGCACCCCTGGGCAAGACGGGGGCAGACAGACGCGGTGGGGGACGCAGCCCGACTCTCAGCCGGTGTCTGCCTGGCGTCTTCTCTCCTGGTCGCTGGGAGCCAAGCCTCCCCCGCCTCGAAGCCCTCCTCTGTGCACCGCGACCTCGGTCTCTCCGGGAAGTCTTACTTCCTTCCTCCCCTCCCGAAGATGCGCGGAGTCTCCCACGCCCACCTCTCGCTCCTCTCCCCTCCCTTCCTCCTCCTCTTCTCCACCCGCTTTCTTTCTCCGCGCACAGAGGCTCCGACCCAGCTCCTCTCTGCCTCAGCGCCGAGCCCTTCCTGCCCCCCAGCCCGGGCTGGGCCGCGCCTCCCCAGGAAGGCCCAGGACGGGGGTTTCCTGCAGCGACAGGTGGGCCCTGCCACTCGTCGGCCTGCCCCGGGCGCCGTGTCCTCCTTTCGTCTGCTCCTCCGGTGGCTGCCGGGCACCACTGCCGGGCCAGTGTGGGGCCGGGGCCGCGATGGGGTCCTCGGGGCCCGGAGAAGGGTACGGAGCGTCCTCCATGCTCAGAACTGATGGGGGCGACAGGGAGGGCGGGGAGGGGGTGTCTGCACCGGCAGAACAGACTCAGGAAACCGGAGGAAATCCCGGTTTTCCGTCTGCGCGGAAGTCAGGAGTTTGGAGCACAGGGAGCCGCGACGCATTCGGGGCGGTCTCCGTCTTACCTCCAGGCTCCGGTGAGAATCAGACTTTAAAAGAAAATTGCGTCTCCCGGCAGCTGCGCTCGCGGCCACGGGTAAATCCACCTGCCTGCGTCCTGGCGCCGTGGGGACGGGGTGGGGCGGGCACTGCGGCTGCTGTCACGATCCAGAGCTTTCTGCTCAGCGGAGAGGTGGGGACCGCCACGGGCAACGACACCCCCAACAGGGAGTGGAAATGAGAGTTTGCAATCTGTCTTCTTGGAAAATCTCTAGGTTTAATGTCGTGCCAGGAGAAAGAGCTGAAACACTTCACTCAAGAGCTACATCCTGGCGCAAGAACTTGATCCTTAGATCGCAAAAGCACCTTTTAAAATGCTAGGACAGGAGCCAAGGGAGGCGCTGTTAATGGCGTGGCAGAACCCGTTACGTGCAGACCGGCCCGCGCTTTACAAGAGGCAGGTGCAGAAAGGAGAAGGGTTTGTGATATGTGGTTTGTCTGTGTGTGTGTGTTTGTGTGTGTGTGTGCATGTTTGTACAATGTGTGTATTGTGCATGTTTGTGCACCACATGTGTGTGCATGTTTGTGTGTGCAATGTGTGTATATATGTACACATTTGTGTGCGATGCATGTGTGTATGTGTGCATGTTTGTGTGTACAATGTGTGTGTATGTACACATTTGTGCGTGCAATGCATGTGTGCATATTTGTGAAATGTGTGTATATATGCATGTTTGTGCAATGCATGTGTGTATGTGTGCATGTTTGTGTTTACAGTGTGTGTGTACACATTCCTGTGTGCAATGCATGTGTGTGCATGTTCGTGTGTACAATGCATGTGTGTATGTGTGCATGTTTGTGTTTGCAATGTGTGTATGTGTACACATTTCTGTGTGCAGTGCATGTGTGTGCATGTCTGTGTGTACAATGCATGTATGTGTATGTCTGCATGTTTGTGTTTGCAATGTGTGTATGCATGTTTGTGTGTGCATGTCTGTGTACAATGCATGTATGTGTACTTTCTGCATGTTTATGTACTTGGAATGTGTGTATGTATAAATTTGGATGTGTGCAATGCATGGTGCATGTTTTGTGTGTGACGATGCATCAGTTCGATAGTGCATGTATTGTTTTGCATGCGTGGTGTGCTCATGTGATACAGAACTCGTTGTAGTGTGCATGTTTGCTGTGTGCGATGCTGTCGTGTCTGA